TTAATCAACTGATAAAAAATAAAATATCACTAATACTGGAACAAGAATCAAAATCGTGTGTACCTGAGACAAAAAGCAACAGAGTCACTCAACTGATAAATGCGCTGCGGCCAGCCTGCCTGAGACTGTCCCAGAAAGAAGCCACCACCACCCAAGCTGAGGGACAGTCTATGAATCTTGATGCTGATTCCTGAACAGCATCAAGGTCAGGAAAGACTAAAACAGATAAAGACTGAAGGACATAAATAAATGTAACCCATAGTCCCGGACTGATCAAATCAACTGAAGAAAATATAAATGTGGTCGGGAGATTAGATGGTGACATTATCAGAACTGATGGCTATACTGTTATCGTGTGGGAATGTCCTTGTCCATAAAAATACACACTGAGGCCGGCAGACAGCTCCGAAGGCAAAGAGGACACTAGCCATCAAGCCTGATGACCTTTGCTCTGGGACCTACATGGTAGTGGGAGAGAGCCAAGTCTCAATAGCAAACATTGTCCTTTGACTTCGACATGCATACCCCTCCATAAATAAAAATACAATAAAATTTGTGAAATACAAGTATAAAGGACTAATAAGGTAATATGGCTGCTTCTCCCTTTTTATGTTGTTTGTTGAGACAGGGTTTCTCTGTGTAGCCCTGGCTGTCCTAGAACTGCATCTACTGCCTGAGTTCTGGGATTAGGAATGTGCCACTATGCCTGGCTAACTTTTTAACTTTTTTTCTTTGAGATAAGCCTCATACAGTCCAGGCCAACCTCAAATTCTCCAAGCTCACTGTGTCATGATAGTTTATGACTGAACTTCACACAGGAACACACTACCTTGCTTGGTTTTATGAAGTATCAGTCATCAAGTCCAGAACTTCCTGCATGTTAGGCAAGCACTCTACCAACTGAACCATACACCTCTGCAACTTATTCCTAAAGACTTTAGAAACATTTACAATTGGGTAATCTGGATGAAAGATATATGAAGCTATAAGTGCTATTTCAGAAACTTGTGTGTGTGAGAAAACTATTTTAAAAGAAAAGGTTAATCTAAGTTAAAAACCCAACAGTAATGGAATATAATCTGTTAAATTAGTCTTTGTCTGCACACATACATGCAGAAGCAAACTAACAGCTAAAAGCATTGGGTGAAAGTCGGATGAAGAACCATCTTCATAGTCTCCAAGTATTTTCACACACATCCCTTGCTCTTCTGTTTTAATAGTTCCAAGGATAACTCAAGCTGCTACCAACTCACTACGATTCTGTAGCCATGTGTCACCACACCAGGCCAGGACTGGCTTTTTAATTAAAAGGAGAAAATCAATGCAGAAAGGAAACCTGGAAAAAACCACCTTAACAGTGACCTGTTAAGAATCAGGGGACAGGGACAGGCACCGAGGCCCACACATTTAACCCCAGCACTTTGGGGGGCAGAGGCACGTGGATCTCTGTGAATCCGAAGCCAACCTGGTCTACAGAGCAAGTTCCAGGTTAGCCAGGGCTATACAGATAAACTGTCTCAAAATAACAGCAACAAAAAGAACAATAAGACGAAAATCATCACTCTTTTCAAAAACAGAAACATTCTGCCACATAGAGACAGGTGTGCCAACTAAATGCATGTGTGACAGTGAATCGGATTGCATTTCTGAGGCAACCTGCCAGAACCTGCACATATGCTACATTAGATAATATTAAATGCCCTGAATTTGGTAACTGTTCCATGGTTATATAAGATATTGTCCTTATATAAAGAAAGCATTCAGTTTATATATAGCTTGTAAGAGTTACGTGGCATATAGGACACACAACGATCGCATCTGCGATTTTCCCGCACACCAGTACAGCAAGCATATGTATGTCAATAAAGGAAGAGATTAGTAAATCTAGATAAAGCGGATAACAGATCTATGTTATTCTTGAAACCTCTAAGACTGGAAATATTTCAAAAGTAAAGTTTTTAAATGCTATGAAAATAAGACTGTATCTGGGTTGTAGAAATTCAATGCATTTCATTCCCTCTTTAAACATATTAATATTCTGATTCTTTTGCCATACAATTGTAACATTTTCAAATTACAAAAGCTATTTTTATTTTATATAGAAAACTGATTGCATGCAATACAGAACAGGATTCCCTCAATATTCATTTTAAGTTATTACACATTATACATGTAGGCATATCAAACTACTTCTGTTCCAGTTCTCAACACCAACTGCTGCTTCTACACTGGCTGGTTCTGAGTTTCACCATATATTCACGGAATTAATTCAGTTAACAGTTTCTTAGTGATAGTTCAGAAAGTATTTTCATAATTCGATATTTTTTTATTTTATATAAACATCTGTAACAAGAAACCACTCACTCCCTGCCACAGAAGCTTCTGGTATTTCTTTTTTGTTTTTTTGGTTTTTTTTTTTTTGGTTTTTTGAGACAGGGTTTCTCTGTAGCTTTAGTGCCTGTCCTGGAACTAGCTCTTGTAGGCCAGGTTGGCCTTGAACTCACAGAGATCTGGCCTGCCTCTGCCTCCCCAGTGCTGGGATTAAAGGCATGCGGTATTTCTAACCTGATTTTGTTTCTTCACATTTCCACTCTTCAGCTCGAGGGATCTGGCCACACAGGAGCTGCCAAGCACCTGTTTACACTAAAGTTTTGTTCTTGTTTTGCCGCACTTGGTCCACAAGACCAAGTTATAAACAAAATAAAAGAGCAAAACAAAACAAAAACACCACCCAGAAGTTTGGCCATTTAAAGTCCATTTAGTTGAGAGGCATGGCGGAACAAACCTTTAATCCTCGCACCCTATGAGGCAAATCTCTTGAGACTGAAGCCAGGCCCACCTGGTCTACACAGGAAGTTCCAAGACAGCAAGAGCCACATAGAGAGACCCTGTCTCCAAAAACAAAGCAAAAACAAACAAAACAAAAAACAAATAAAAAAACCCTAAAAATCTATTTAGTAAAGCAAGAATGGTAGGTAGGGGTGTGTGTGTGTGTGTGTGTGTGTGTGTGTGTGCAGTCTCAATACATAGTCTTGGTTGGCCTTGAGCTCACTATATAGACCAGGGCTGTCCTCAAACTCACAGAGCTGCCCCTGCCTTTGTTTCCCAAATGCAGGAGTTAGAGGCCTGGTCCACAAGTTTGTCATTTTTATCATAGTCATATAACATTTTCAGTAATCGCATATTAGACTAGTACAAATAGCAGAACATGAAAAATAAATCACTTTTAAGAAGTAGGAATGGGACTGGAGAGATAGTAAAATATTTGTCTTCCTTATAAGCATGAGGACATTAGTTCAACCCCAGAAACCTTGCAAAAAAGAAAAGAAAAAAGAAAAAAAGAAAACGCAGGGGCGAGAGTGACAGTTCAGTGGTGAGGAGCACTTGCTGCTCTTGTTCATGCAGAAGACCGGGGTTAGGTTCTCAGCACCCGCACAAAGGCTGACCACATCCACAACTCCAGTGACAGGCCATCTGATAGCACTAGAAACACACACATACATACACACAGAGTACACCTACATACAGGCAGGCAAGCACTTATAACATTCAAGGCTGTCCTCCAGCCTCCACATACATGTTCTCTCTCTCTCTCTCTCTCTCTCTCTCTCTCTCTCTCTCGCTTTCAGTGTAATTTTTAAAAATCTAACCCTTGCTGGGAGGTGGTAGCACACACCTTTAATCCCAGCACTCAGGAGGCAAGGGCAGGTGGGTCTCCGAGTTTGAGGTCAGCCTGGTCTATAGAGTGAATTCCAGAATAGCCAGGGTTACATGGAAAAATCCATTCTCAAAGAACAAAACAAAAATCTAGCTAATACATCTAATCTCTAAAGTTATGACGGTGAGACACAATTAGTACCTTAAAGGTACAACTAGTCTAGCTCAGCACCTCCCTCCCTCCCTCCCTCCCTCATTCATTCATTCATTCATTCATCCATTCAGAGGCAAGGTCTCACTGTGTTCCCTAGGTTGATCTCAAACTCCAGGGTTCAAGCAAACTGCCTGTCTCAACCTCCTGAGTATTTGGAACAATGGGCCTAATAAAGCCTCACAAAGAACATTTAATAATATTTTATCTTTGGAGTTATTTTTAACCAGTTGAAAAAAAATTAATCTTTTTTTAATGCACACAGGTGTTTTGCCTGCATGTCGGTGCAGCTTCTGTGGAGGCCAGAAGATTGATCAGCTCTCTAAGAACTGGAGCTACAGAGGGTTGTAAGCCACCATGGAGGTGTTCAAAATGAAACCCAGGTCCTTTGGAAGAGCAACCTGCGCTCTTAACCGCGGAGACATCTCCCTAGTTTCGACTTTAATTTTTGACAGCAGTCCCGTATAACCCAAGTTTCAGTCAGATCATCACTGAATTAAACACGAAAAAACCTCTCGTTTTTAAAAACGAAAAAAAAAAGAATGATTAACAGAAAATCATAACCTAAAGTTAGTGCAGCATAGACCGATAAGTGGCCGAGGTACAGCGTCTGTGCAGCACATACAAGGCCCTGGGTGTGGTCTCCAGAACCACAAGAACAAAGCAAAATCTGTTTGATAAGCCTCCAAATTAATTTTGGAGTTGTTGCTTCCGCTTTTTCTTTTTTAAGGGATCCTCCACTCTCTGATCTGGGCCTCCATATGCTTCGTGTGACTGTTATTTCTCTTAACAGATTCAATTAGTCCTTCTCAACCTGCTCTGAAACTTTAATTCCCCCGGAAAGCTCTCGACTGCACACTGCCTCTCCTCTGCACATTCCACTCCTCTTTGCCATCCAATACCCATCCGAAGAGCAGTTAATTTTCACATGTTCCAGAGACAAGCTCAAAGACCAGAAACTCAATGGGGGAAGTCTGGGGGTCGGTAAGGAGAAAAGTTGGTCTCCTGGGCTATGGGGAAGTGACTGGCAATACTCGTTCCTACAATTTCAAGTCTTCTTCAGCATTCAACCTTTGACCTGTAAACAGCTGCATGACCCCATCTCATTCTTGTTACTAATAACGGTACCTACCCAGTATCTCCCAATCCGTGAAGGAAAATGACCTAAAAGAGAAGAAGACAAAATAAGCCCACACTGAACTGTTAACACACTGTAGCTTTGGCTTAGTTACAAAAGCGAATGAAGGGCCTAAAAACTTAACAACGGAACACTATTCCGCGACCTAATTAATCTCTATACGCCTTCCTTTTCATTCCTAAAATAATGCGGCATTTTAGCGCTGAGAGGCAAATCACAGTCTGATCAAGATAGTCGTCTCCCTAAAGTCAAGTCACGAAAGCCTGACACACACAGCCGAATTCTTTCATCACAAAAGTTTCCGGGAGCAAAAGTTAATCTGAGCTCCCGCGGCACAGACACACACGCCGGGCGGCTGTTTCAGCACCAGCCCTCGGCACTGCTTCTAGGGTGAGGAGTGCGCGGCAGGCAGGCTGGGGTTCCCGGCCCCGACCCGGGAGAGCCCGCGGGGCGGCGCGGAC